TCTTAGAAAACATTTAAACATTAATGATTAGAAGGTATTCCAAGTTGTAAGGTGGAATCTTATGAAAGAACATACTCATTGTTTGGTTATGGGTTGCTGTTCATCTCTTTGCATGGCCTTCCTTCTCATCCATTAGACCCTAGCTGTATCATTTGAGATTCATTTTTGTGTGTTTTGCTTGTCTTAATACATCAGAGTTCTGTAAAAATTGGCCAGGTGTGGTGTTATCCCATCAGCCTATAGTCTCAGGTATCAGGAAACTTAGGCAGGAAGATCACAGTCAGTTTGAGACTAGCCTTGGCTACATACATGGCTCCAGCCCAGTGTGGGCTAACACGTGAAACCCAGTTTCAAATAAATAATTAATTAACTAATTAATTTAGTCCCTCCTCCTCCATGGTCCTTTAGACTTTGGACATGAAATATTTATAATGTTTTCCAGTATGACAGTATCAATTTATGGTTGCTATTACTCTTTTTTTTCTTTTTGGTCTTTTTGAGATAGGGTTTCCCTGTAGCCCCAGCTGTCCTGGAATGCACTATGTAGACCAGACTGGCCTTAAACTCACAGAGATCCGCCTGATCACAGAGTCCCATCAGAGTGCTGGGACTAAAGGCATGTGCCACCATGCCCAGCTCCACTGTTATTCCTCTTAAATGGAAACTTAGCCATGTCTCACATCTGTGTTTGTAAAGCCAGAGAGTTCATGGATATATTGAAGGAAAAGCAAACACGTGCTATACTTACCATGTTTATCTTATGCTTCCTGTTTGCACTGTGAAACAGGTATGAAACACTTTATTTGTTTTTCTAGGGCTTGCACAAAAAAGTACCACAGACCAGATAGCTTAAACAGGAATTTATATTCTCAGAGTCCTGGATGCTGACGTGTACAATTAGAGTGTCGGCAACACTGATTTCATCTGAGGTCTCTCATCAGTCTCCTTGCGTCCCCCATCCTCGTGTATGTATCTATGTCAAAATCTCCTTTTGTTGTCATGGTAGATTAGGACTCACCCTAAAAGCTTAATTTTAAGTCAGTGAACGTCACAATCTGAAGACCCTATCTCCAATATAATCTCATTTTATCACTGAGAGCTAGAATGTCAACATATGAATGGGGGAAGGGTCACAGGACACAGTTCAATTCATAACATTTAAGCCAGTCCATTGATGACATTTATCTGCAAATGATTTTTTAAATGTTTTAAACATTCATTTATTGTATGTGTAAGTATATGTGTGGGTATACATGCCATGGCATACCTGTGGAGGTCAGAGGACAACTTGTGGGAGGTGGTTCCCTCCTTCCACCAAGTGAGTTCTGGCAATCGAACTCAGATCATTGACAATCAAACTCAGGTCATCAGGCTTTGCAGCAAGCCACTTTCCCTACTGAGCCATCTTGCCTACTCTGTCAGCAAATAATTTTGTCTATATATGTGATTGAGTATCATAACTGAAGTATGGATATTAATAAACACAGGACAAATAGCAAAAATTCATGACTTCTGATCATCAAGTGAAGTTACTGGTTAGCATAGGACTTTAAATGCAAACTCTTCCAAGCAGGAAATTGTTCCAAATAAATTACACCAATACTCAGAAAAGTTTCAACACTATGATGAAATTAAGACATTGACTAAAAGTCTTTGATGTTCAAGGTTCAGAAGTTTCCACTGAAAACAAAGGTAGGTCAGTTGTTTTCTTGCATAGGAAATACCAACCAGAAAGGTTTCCAAAGAAACAGGTTTTTGCAATTATGGTCATCACACACATTAACTATTAGTGTCTTAAAAGGTCTATTAACAGTTGCCTGAAGTCTATGGGAACAGATAGTGTTAAATACCCTTTCATAATCTATTGCTTACTTTTATAGGAGAATGGTTCCATAATTATATGTTAAGAAAAGCAAAAGTTGTTAGATGGGGGGTAAGACAGCTGCTAGAAGTCTAAATTCTCTTAAGACCCTTTTATAAAGCTATATGGTTCTCACTAGGTCCAACTTGTTCAGTAATTAATAGTCACTAGGCATCTACTCACGTTATTTGATATATGAAATTCTGTATAATGACACAAACAGAAACTACAAGTGTAAAGCACAAAGCTGGATCTCCAGAATTAAAAAAATAAGGTGGGTAAATGTTCACCTGATGTCATATGGAGGGCTATGGTGTTATTGATGAAGGTGAAAGTTAAAGAATTTGCTGGAAGCACAAAAACATCCCAAACTAGTGGCCAAGAGGCTTTGGTTTCAAATATCATGAAATATAGAAAACGACATAAACAATTTTCTAATTATTTATCAACAAACAATTATGGTAAATACACAGAAAAACTCCCATGCAAATAGTCTCTAAAATCTTATATTGCATGTTACCTCTGAGAGTTGCCTCTGTTTCTCTATGCAGAATACATGAAATTTCATCAGAATGTGCTATTTTTCTAGACTGCACAGATTTGTCATTTCTGTAAAGTTTTCTGTCTTGTTGTTTTTAACTTCTTTTCTGTTCTGATCTAGTCTTCAGGAATAGTATCAACTTTACACATGCCAGCTTTCTTAATTCCTTCTTCAACAATGACTTTTTAAAATTTTTATTTATTATTTTTATGTGTATGCATGTATTGCCTGCATGTAGGTAAGTGCACCCGTGTCGTGCAGTGCCCGCTGAGGTCGGAAGAGGCTGTCGGATCCCTTGGGACTGGAGTTGTGGACAGTTATTAGCTGCCTTGTGGGTGCTGGGATACGAACCCGGGTCTTCTGCAAGAACAACCAGTTTTC